CCATCCCATCCGGCGAGCCTCTCCCCTCACAAGGTCCTGCACAGTTTTTAAATCCAGAAGAGAGAAAAGCCAACCGCGAGCTACGGCGGCGTGTGGAGAAAATGACGACAGCAGATGGAGAAACATCCTCCGGTCCAGGAGGATATTCTTCCCCTGAGCGCAGACGCTGGGAACCTGATCCTCGGACAGCTGGTCCCGCGTCCCAGGGAGACGGAGGCGAAACGCTGCCTCTGGCCGATGCCGGCGAGCAGCTCGGAGCAGGTCCTCGGTGCGCACCACGGCCGCCGCGTCTCCTCCCGGGACCACTCTCATGGCAACAGAGGGCATCAAGGGGTCGGTGGTCAGTTTGTGGGGTCCACCTCCCCACTGCAGGCATGGCTGTTGCTGCTGTTCCCTGGGGATGCCCTGCCCTGGAGCGGATTGCCGGCACCGCACTGGGTGCCGTGCTTGGTCCAACCTTGTTGGACCACAATTTTTTCTCCCTGGGCACGCTGGCTCGCCATCCAGAGGGGGACTGAAGGAGCCGATGGGGGGAAACAGCCTACGAGCACACACTTTTCAAATATCCCAATGGTGCTAGGCTAACCCATTTTATTCATAATTTATCCAGCTGTAACTCAGGAATATATTCCTGAAGGGTAGAGGCAAGATGCCGTGACGGCTGACACCAGCACACCAAGTGGCACATCAGCGGTGGGCAGCGGAGAAGACCCCGAGCAGCAGCAGCCCCCACGCCGCTCTGCGAAGCTGCGGTTCAACCCACGGCAGCCGAGATGCAGGTGCGACGTGCCGGCACACGGCAGAGCGCTCACCGCACCGGGCAGCGGCCGGCTGGGCCATTAACCCACCCTGAAAGCCGACGGACCAGGACATTCAGGCACATGCAGAGAGGGACCTCCTGAGTCCCCGCTGTGGCACCCAAGGGCAGGGGCCGATTTTCAGAACTGAACACCAGCAGCTGGAAACTTCCGCTGGGACTTTCCACAGCCCAAAATGATCCTTTCTGGCAGTTCCCACAGGTAAGCGCACAACAGGGGAGGTGTGCGTCCACCGGGACACGACTCCCTGGATGCAGCTGGCTTTGCCAGAGAGAGCAAGGAGGAGGAGGGGACGCTCCCAAGCCCAGGGCCAGGACCAGAGGGGAGGAAAGAACATTGCCAGGATATTACTTGGGCGAGGCTCAGCCGAAAAGGGCTGGACTATATCCTGCTCATTTTCATGAGGCTTATGCTCCTGAATCGGTATGGCACATTTTCAAGAGGAAACGCTGGCCCAGGGCACAGCCAGCCTCGACGGTATCACGGGAAGGTGCCTTCAGAGAAAGCGCTTCCGCGGTGCAGCAGGAACTACCAAACGTTCATCCCTTCCGAAAACCTCAGACCACCAATTGAACATGAAAATACCTGGGAGCCTCACTTAAGACAGCACGTTGCTCGATCCCAGCCGCACTGCCGCAGGGTTCACCGCTTTTTCGATGTAGTTGGGCGCACTTATGATCTACAAAGACCGAAGCCGATGGCGTTAACCTACATGAAGGCAGGATGCGTGCGTTGCTGCTGTTTTATCTGCTTTCACCTGCACTTCCTACCGTGCTGCTCCAAGAATCCGAACTGACCACGGTGAGTGAGAGAGGGTGAGAAAATGGGAATGGACTGACTTTGCAAACAAAAGAAGCAGAGAGCAAAGCATGGAGTAAAGACTGGTAGTGGTGGAGAAAGAGAGGAGAGGGCAGGAGGATGATATAGCATAAATATTTATTTTCCCTCAACTCTGCAGCCCTTTGAATGATCTCTCCCGGTGGGCTCCTGCTGTCTGTACAATCCAGGACACAGGCTGTAGGAAAGCTTAGGAGTGGCTCAAGGGCATTCGACGCTACAGCAGGGCTCGTTCTACCAGCCTCATACAGACCTTGCTGCCTTGACCACTCCCTGCCCTTTACCAAGAGCACCCATAGCTGCAAGGCTATACATTATATGCCGAGCTAGCGTGTGGCACCAGCGCAGCAAAGGCTTCCCCTAAGGCAGCATCAGATTTGCTGTACGGCTTAGTTATTCTGCTGTGCTCAGCGTGGCACAGTCAGGGGCTTAGAGACAGCCTCTACAATGCAAATCCAACAGCAATTTCTTCCCTTCCCTTCTGTAAGAGCTGTGAATTACTCTTTTCACTGGATTACTGACACTCTCCTTTTGCTTTGGCTGCCACCTCTCTTCCCCATTGGAAAAGGGCCACCAGCATGGGGATTTGGTCCTACGCTCCCATCTCCATCAGGTTTATCCACGGGTACCACTTGAAGCAGGCACTGGCAGCAGAAACCTCTGTGCACACAGCACCCTCCAACCCCTCTCCCCCCCAGGGACACCCAGTCCCCTTCATTAACATTAAAAAACACACATCAGCCTTCAAAATCAGAACAGCTCTGACCTTATTTGCACCGGATCCTCTGAAGCCAATTGCAAAAGAGAAGCAAACAGTGAGGAGTTCATGAAAGCAATTCACCGGCCACGCGCTGGCCTTGCCTGGAGAGAAGGTCCCTACCAGGTTAACCCCCAGCAGACTTTAGCACCGTATACAGCTTGCACGGAGAGAAGCGACCTCCGAGCCTTTCTCTGGGGGAACGGCTTGTTTGAGATGATTTCTCTTGTGAGGTCTCGCCAACATTGGCATCTGCTGGATACGAGAGAGGCTAAAGCGATCCAGCAGCCCAAAGCACTCAAGGTAGCACTCTCCTCCTACCGAGGCAGCCAGGAGCCAGGAATTTTTTGGGTTCCATTTTCATCCTTGGCAATGTCTCCCTGGAAAGCCTTTCTCAGCCTCAGCCTCCCCATCTGTTCTGTTTGCCTCTTTGGGAGGCTGTGGAGCTCGAGGGATGTATGTAAAGGCCTCCAAGACTGGTTATATAAAAGAGAAAGAGCAATACATTGGCTTGTGCTGTGGGGTGCCTTCGTGGCAGTATTTCTAGAGATGCATCTAAGCAGGATCTGCTAATGATGCAGTTTGACAAAAAATTAAAAGCAACAAATTAGGCACCCAATTCTTCATTTCTGTTTTCTGAAACGAACAGAGAGTGGATGAGCATGGATTTTGGAGTAGTCTGCTATTATGTAGCTGAGGCAAATCTCAGGTGAAAAGTTCTTATTCTGCAAAACTCTATTGCTAAATCAATTATCCTGCATCAACAGGCGGTCTTTGCTATGGGAACAGGGAGAAAACAGTCCTACCTTCCACTGAAGGGTGACCAATTAGGTTCTGACAAGCTACTAAGTGCCCGTGGGGAATAAGGAGAAGACCCCAGTTATTCTCTCCTAATGACCTCTCAGCACCATTGCCTTTTCTAATTGGGATCCCAAAGTCACACCACATTTCCCTCTGCCACTCTCAGGGGAGTCATCAGGATTGAGACTTTAACCTGGTCAGCAATTAAGTGTTTCACAGGCCTCAGCTGAAAAAAAAAAATCATGTTTATACAGCTATTTTTGAAACAGTACATCAGCCTTCAGGCTCCCAGGACAAGCCCTCCTTTCTACAGAGACAGGAAGGTCGATGGTAAACAGGGACTGCGCGATGTTACCAGAAGCATTCCCAGCTTTTATCAGTCAAACTGGGACAGCTGCAACTGAACTCAAATTGGCAGTAATTAATCTAAACTTTAATTATGCTGCTTCTCATAATCCCAAAACAAACATTACTAAATTAACCAAGATGTTGCTCTTTAATTGTCCATTGTGGAGCAGGTGCAGTAATTTCCCCCCGCCCCGATACTCCAGAATCCATCATCTGCCTTGGGGCTGCTTGAGGCTTTGCACGTGCTGCTTCTCGCAGCCTGGGCTCAGGGATGCGCTGGTCCTGCAGGCAGCCCGGCTTTGAGACAGACAAGTTAGCGAGGGGGTGAGACATCCAAAACAGAGACTGTGTAAATGATGTCAGGAGAGAACCTATGCCTAAGGGCAGAGGTGCCTACGGATAAAGGAATAATGGTACAACCTGCCGGGACAAATGAAGATGGGGTGACTTGGAATGTTGTCCTGCCTGGATAAATAAACTTGAAAAGACATTGCCCCTATCGACTTCCTCACCAAGAGACTTTCAGCCTTTTCCCAGAAGTCTGTTCCCTAACACTGAGGATAAGGAGACTATTTTTAATTTTACCAAGGAGAAAGTGCAGAACAGAGAGATGAAATGACTTGGCCACGGTCACAGGCAGCTCCCCGGCAGGGCAGGAGGACGGGACTCCCTGATGGCCCATCACAGCCCTTCCACCGTCTGCTTCAGTGCCAACACCTCCACACCGAGCGCCTGCAACGCCCCTGAACTAGAGACCATGCAAACCACACACCCCGCTCACACCTTAGCCGAGGATTTAAATCAAGCATCTGAATGGACGCAGGCTCAAACAGCGCTCCGGAGATGGGTGCACCCATGACCCACGTGGGGCACAGACCTCCAATGACTGCTGCCTGTGGACCTCGTTCGGAAGAAAGCCACCCGGGGCCGCCCCAGGAACGCGATCCGCTGCTTGGGGTACAGAACATTTCTGAACTCGGGACGGCTGCCGGAGGCTCTCTCGCAGCACCCCAGTTAGACCAGACAGGATTCCCACATCTATGGCCCACCCAGTCCTTTGCCTCTCTAATGCCAGCACAGTGAATCAGGAGAGGTCAGGGATTTAGGGATGTGGATGATAACCAGTCCCTTGGATCCTATTGTACATAGGTCTCCAAAAGAGCCATCGCTTGCCGGCTGTTACTACTGAAAGGGACCAAGTTAAAGCCAGTGATCCAGCAGTGAGAAGCTCCAACTCCCTCCTCGTCATTCAGACGTTCCTTAGCCAAAACACAGCCATGCCTCATCCCCTACCAAAACAGAGGTAGAGAGTCACTCTGAAACACAAAATTCCTGAATGCTGCTTTTTGCCACCTCTTAAAAACAGCACAAATTTCAAACCCTCCAGCAGCACCAACTACTATCTCATAGTATCTAGCCATCGTGTTTCCTTTGCAATTCGCTTGTGAAGACCCCAAATAAGTCAAGGCTTCAAATAAGGTCAGTGTTTGTTTGACTAGTTGTGTTACCTTTGTTCTCACAGGTGCATCACCCAAGTGAAAGACTGACTTATTTAGCGATAACTGAGTGCCCAGGAATTCTCATTTGTTTAGCTACAGTTAAACAACAGCACCTTGTTGGTTTAGGCACCCACTGAGTTCACAGATATGGGAATGGACCGTGGAGCACTCCTTAGAGGGTCCACTGGCATGGAGAGCAGTTGAAGAAACAAACATGTGGATAAATCATGAAATAAAGGCCCAAAAGGAAAGGGCACAAGGAATCTAGGAGAAAGAGCACCCGAGCAAGCATCAGCTCTGAGACACAGCAGGCAAGAGGGAGCTAGAAAGGAAACAGCAATATACCCAAAGCTCTCAGTGCGACAGCGAACTCCAGAGGTGACATCAGGAGGGGGTAGATCAGGGATGGAGTCCATCTGAAGGAAATAAGAGGAGGTGGTGTGATGGTAATAGATAGGGTGGACATGGCAAGCAGGAGCAGATGCAGTGGTGGTGGATGAGGAGCAAGAGGTGGAAGAGGTGGTGGTGGCAGCAGATGGTGGGCTGGTGCCGGGAAGGTCGGAACTGAAAGACTGTCCAGAGGAGAGGCTGTGCATTCGACGGAGAGACACTCTGCCTGCCCGGTACTGGGCAGGTTGGCCCGAGTCATTCTGGCCTTGCACATAACTCTCTACCAACCTCTGAGATCCGTGGGCATGCTGTGGGTCCACCAGGCGCTGGCGAACTGTGCTGGGCAAGGCAGGAGCTGTAATGAGAGAAAGGGGAGAACGCTGAAGGCAGCTGGAAAGAGACTGCGCATCAAATCAGCAAGGAGGCACCGTGATAAAGCTGCCACCCACGGCCAGGGCTACGCACCACAGCACCATGCCTTCTGTCACCGGGACACTGGCTCGGGCCACTGCAGCCATCCCACCTTGTGCTATAAGTTACGCTGGTTTAATGCAGAAGAAGCATTAAGCTGGTGCTGCTGCTTAACATGCTAGATTAATGCCCAGCCCATGAAAAACTACGTTTGACATTCCTGATATAGGTGCTTTCTGAACACCTTATCTGATCATCTTGCTTGAAGCAGAAACTGGCTGCGTGATTCACCCTACCCAACTTTACATCAGAGCTACCACCCAGGCTCCCTTTATAGTAAATGTGAAGCAGTCGGTACTTTCAGGGCAGGATTCATTTCGTCCTAACGCAGACATCCAAATCGTTCAGATGCTTCATGCCTTGGTAGTACTATTTCCCTACACAGCTTAAAAAAGGAGTCTCCGGTGATCGGTTCGGATGTAGGCACCTAAAGCCGGCAAGGTGAGCTCCACTGCCTTGGTAGTACTATTTCCCTACACAGCCTAAAAAAGGAGCGTCCGGTGATCGGTTTGGATGTAGGCACCTAAAGCCGGCGAGGTGAGCTCCATCCCCGGAGCTCAGCTCTGTTCCGGCTTCCAGCATCGTCGTGCCGGTGCGACTCCTGGAGCAAGGCGCAGGAATGTGGGACCGAAAGCAGGGTTGCAAAGTAGAGCTGCACTTTGTGTTCAGGGGAAGTTTCTATGAAGATGCAGAAACCTCCCAGCCTTGTACCCTTCTGCAGGGCAGAACGGCTGGGACACGTGGCAGACGTATAGTAACTATGATATTAATTGGGTAGGCACAGGCTTTCGTCATCAGTCCACGCTGAAATTATAGCTCTGGTCCAAAAGCGGTATCGTCTGTTCCCAGTCTGTCCGATAATTAGCTTACTGATCAGAGAGACGCTCAGTTTGAAAAATATTTTTCTCTAATTGCAAATTCATCTTGGTTTGGAGAAACAAATTGGACTGCCTCCTTCAGTGCACTGTCACCACCTAATTAACAGCTTTTAAAGATCATAACGATCTTTCTGGCCACGTAGTCTTACCTGTCAGGTAAGAGAGGCCAGAGAGCTCAGCCAGTTGTCTGCACCACCCCTACACACTGAGCCGGAGCCAGGGGGTCGCCTTCAGAGAGGCAGAGGGAGGCACCGTCACCTACACGGAGATTTCTGCACGCTCATTTCGATCAGGCAGAGCATTACGCATGGAAAACTAAGATCCACTGGGCTGCATCGCCATCCTGCAGACAACCGGACTGGTTGTATTTAATCCGCTAGCTGTAATTTCCATACAAGATATTCCTTCTTTTGCAAGAGATAAGGTGTTCAGGATTGTTCAGAATTTCTTATATGCGTAAGAAATAAATGTAAAAATGGGTTAAAAAGGTGAACAGACAGGAAAGCTAAGAAATGGAGTAGAAGGAGAGCTCCTTCAGGAATCGAAGAACCAGCAAATCACTGCTATAAAAACACACAGCTAGGAAACACGAGTCTCCTGCAGCCCATCTGACAGCAAAACTCAGGTACTGAAGGATCACTACTGGGACATATTTCAAGTGGAAGAAGGAACAAGCAAGAATAATTCAGGCAACTTTGCTGTTTCCACATCCCCAAGGTTAATCAGAGTTTCTCTTCACAGGGTCCCACCGCTCAGGTTTGCTACTTCTTGCTTTACTACACTGCCCATCTACGAACCTTTCGCTGAAGCTCTTTATACCATCCACTTTCTATTTCAAGAATTTTCTTTCTCTTAAGAGCTCCAGAGCTGAAATTAAGTGAAATCAAGTCACACGGAGTCAAGGTGGAAAAAAAATCCCTTGCTCCAGTGGGGACTGCAAAAAAACTGATCAGAGGAGGCGAGGAGGAGAGTGTTAATGGGCAGAACTGGAGGCTGTTCCAGCTCTCCGGCTGCGCCTCTGCAGCAGCAACGCTGCTAACTACGGCAGCACAGACAGGAATAGCACAGCTGATCCCTACTTGCCTGCTGCTGGCAGGGACACAGTTTATAAGGAGTCTCAGTTTGGGGGGCTAACGGGGATCCAAGTTCTGCAGAATAACTAACTGGGGGATTATGGGTTTCTGCTACAGGTTTCTTTTTCTCTTGGGCCATGCTTTTTTCCCTAAGGGGTTTGTTGTTTTTTTTCCCCTGGTGTTCCACTCCTCATTTACCAACTTGACACCTTTCACCTTTGCACTCTCCTTTTGCACGATTTACCCTGCGATAAGCACAGGAGCAAAGGCTGAGACCTCACCTTGCACAGCCACAGCGGACCCTCGCTTCCCACAAACATCGTTTCACTCCAGACACTGCACGTGTCTTATCAACATTCGCCAAATAACCTGCTCATCATCTTGAGGAAGATCACCACCATGCAAGCCCTAACCAACGCCAGCGCACAGCCCGGCCTGCTGCTGCACATGCTCGTCCTCCTCCATCCCACGACGGCCAGCGTTCGACAGCGCTCCGCAAAGGGAAGGCTTCCAGCCGAAAACAGGAGGCTCGGCGTCTCTGGGGCTGAGCATGCCAGCCCCATGGCCCCAGCATCAGGGCACCAGGGGACAGATTAGCATAATAGGTGGCATTGCTCAATTTATTCAAGGATACCGAGGGAAGAAAGGCACGGCAATTGGCAGCAGCCCCCGCGGGGAGGGATCAGGGTCAGCCTTGGCTGGCAGCGGAGAGGCTGCGAGCAAAGCCTGCACGGAGAAGGAGGTGGGATGGGAAAGGGAACGTTATCACCTCCTCTTGGTCTAGCCCGAATCCTTAATTTCCACTTCAGGGGTAAAAACAACCCTCCAGATTTCATAACTGGATTTTTTTTAAAAAGCAAAACCCAAGAGCACGTGAGAACTACAGCGAACTGTGATTCTTCTTCATCCCACCAGACTCTTCCCAAAGGTTAGTAAAGATGCTGATGACTCAGTGAAGAGGTACATTCATTAGTTTTCCGTGCCAGAAAGTTGGAAAATTTGTGTATGTATTTTAGTCCAGAAAAAGGACAGAGGGTAGAACAAAAAATTAAAATATAATTGAAGAGAACCAAACCAGGGTATTTCCAGAGGGACTGATCCTCCGAGGACAGAGACGAGCGGTCACTGAACCTGCGCCCAAAAAGCCAGGCTGCGTCTGGGATGGGCCAACCGGGTGTGAACGGGAGAGAGAAAAATATGATTTACCGGGAGAATCATCATGGGCAGTCAGCAACATCCCCAACATATCTGGGGAGGAAAAACTCTGCGCTTCTCTCCTGAAGCAGTTTTTGTACACAAAGAAAGAAAAATCCTCTAGGGAAAGGCAAACGCTCCCTCGCTTTGGGAACTTGGGTGCCCAGCGCTGGGTACACAGAGCTACCACCCGCAGGGATGCCGATCAGCGCTGCGGCACGGAGGCAGGCAGGCAGGCTCGCCGCCGGTCACGGGGCTGATGGGAACTGCAAGTGCAAAAATCTCACCTGAGGTGTCTCAAGCAAGGCACAAAGAAGCTGAGGCTTAAAATCTCGGATGAAGGCTCATGCCTTATACAGCTCACGTCCTCCGGAGAGCGTGCTTCAGGTGTTACTCAGGGACTTTAGACATCCCTCTCTCATTAATACCTAGCTTGCATCTTTGCAAGTGTTTCATTAGAGCTGTCTAGCTTGGTTTCTAATGGTAACTGATAAATCACAGAGACTAGTAAGTAGGACACCATTATCTGTTTGATGCTTTAAACTTTCCCTATACACACCCAAGCCCATAAGCCACCAGCTCCAACCCCCACATTTACTGAGCCCTGGAAACATGCAAATACCCCGTCCTCCTGCCCTAAACATTCTGCAGGCTACCCAAATCCTTGATGCTCTGCCTCCATTGCCCTGAGCCCGACCTCAGCACCTGCCTCCAGACCTTCACAGCATCTAACCAGAGCCTGAAACCACAAGGGAGGGATGGCGATGGCACGTACGGGCATCTCCTGCAGCACACACTGCCAACCCTGAGACTCTTCTGTTCCTCTTCCCCACCTCCTACTCAGTTAAATAGACTTTTGATGAAGTCCTCACTAGAAAGTGACCTGAATCAGACATAACCAAGACGACTGCTGCAGCTAACGCTGTCAGCACTGGCTCCCCTCTCCCAGCTGGAGCTCAGAAAGCTGTGCTCTAGCCACGTGCTGCTCCCTGTGCCAGCCAGACCGCTGTCGCAGAGCGGCTGTCAGAGCGGCTGGAGCTGCTCTTCAGGCCTTCCAATCTCTTGTGCAATAGCTAGAGATAGGAAACTGTATTTGGAAAATGCGTTTTTGAGAGAAGCAAGGCCGAATCTGGGTCAATTGAACATGGGAACAGCAGTCAGGACTGATTCACAAACCTTTCACAGAGAAGGAGACAGCCTTCGCATAATCCAAGAGCTCAGCAATTGAGAGAGTAACAGGCGCAGGGTGACCCAAGTTCAGTCCCTTCCTCCGAGAGATCTGGGCTCATCCACCCTCCCTCTCCAGTAGCCCCATTCCTCCCTACAGGAGTTGATGCACTTTGTATACAAACAGTCTCCAATAAAGAGGGGGAGAACGCCCACCCTGGTGACTACAGCACATGCACAGGAGATGGGGCATTGGGGTTTCAGTCTTTGCTGCAGGAAATGTTTAACGGGTCGTTACAGGTAGGCAGCATCGCCACAGCAGACTGCTCCTCCCCATACAGAATGGCAAGAGGTGCAAGTCCAAAGCTGTGCATGAGGAGGGGGAGTCTTCAAGTCCTTTTGTAGCCCAAACAAGTGCTCTAGCCAAGGGGAGATCGGGACAATGCACTTCATTTTCCTTTCTCACTTTTGTGAGTCTAGCCCATGCCTTTGTGTTTTTTTGTAAATGCTTAAATTCAGCGAGTTGAACAGAACAGCATACATATGATTAAATGATGACTAATAACATCTACAAATTACTAGTTCTGCTGGAATTAACAGGCTCCAAGCAACCCCAAGCAGTGGTGGTCTGGCACTTACGGACATTCCTGACCCTTAACGACTAACAATCTGTCTTTGGTCATTTAAAAACCAACTTAGATACCTTAATTCCCCCTAACACATTTGAACTCCTGTTCCAGGTCTTCCCCATGTCGCAGCACCCGGCAGCACGGCAGATGCAGACTCACCACGCACAGCTAACACAGACTACGTACATTGCATGGACATGGGAGACACGATCTCTTCGTCCAAATCGTCCACGTCATCAGTCATGATGAAGTGCGAGGGGTTAGGCCGCTGGGTGCCCATCCAGCTGGGGTCAACGTTAAGGGCTGATGCCAGGGTGTGGATGCCCGGGTTGTTGACGATCTGGAAGCCACAGAGCAGCTCTATCTGCTGCCAGCGATGCAGGCGCTCCCGCAGCGCAGCCGTCACTTCGCTCAGCGCTTGCCTAGAAGCAAGGTTCAAACAAGGGAAAATGTAGGGAATGGAGGAAAAACACACCATATATTGTCTGAAACAGGGAGTCTAGTGGTTCAGCTTTGTATCCTAATACTTGAGACATCTTTGACTCCATTTTCAGGAATACAGGAATTAAAAAAAAAACCAAACCAACCAGCAACTACTGAAATATCCAGGGATAATGGCTTAAGAATACTGCAGCCTCCTGAATCCTCATTTTGACAGGACTTTTAATTGCTCTGCATAACTGCAATTTCTTGTTTCACACAGATAAAATTAAAAAGTTATTGATTAAAAGGAGCAAGTCCAATCCCAGCTGACTAAAGTCAACAGAACAAAAGTTCAGCAAAATGAGACCAAGAGCACCTGTACGGGCTACAGTACGCTCGTGTCTGTAATGTGAGAGGGGTGAAAGAGGCAGGCAGAAATAAGGGAAGATATTAAGTAGATACTCACTTTGCAGTTAAGATTTTATGATCAACATCATCTAGAGATGAGCTGTGAGCAACATGAAATGTTCCAAACAGGGTGTTTCGCTTCTTTTTAATTTTTTCAGCCTGGAACATCAACAGAAAAAGGTCACAGGAAGAAGACGACCTTATGTTTCCTCCAGGACAAGAACATCCTGGATGGGCTGAGACAGAAATAGTCCCTGCAGCTGTTTGCACACATGTAAATAGTGTGAATCGGGTTTTTACTGAAGGATGTTATTCTTCCTAACACAGTGGGTGAGGATTCGCCAGCAGCCAGTAAGCAGGTTGCAGGTTTCGTGCTCCTCTTTGGCCCTTCTCCTGATTTTCCAAGAGTCAAAGGGAACTGAACCAGCTACTTCATATAGCGAATGGCACGCTCATAAAGCCTTGTTTTGCCTTTCCCATGAGTCAACTATCAGAGAAACACTGTTAATGCCCTAGGGTTGTTGGTTTGGGGAGGCTTTTTGTTTTGGGATTGTTTCTTTTGCCTTCCCTTTGTGGCAGAGTGTATATTCAAAATTAAAGTCTCCATACAGAGCTCTTTGGTTCACAGATCTAGTGGCATTAACTTGAGACTTACAAAAGACAAACCAAGGACGTGGACGTGAAAACTGACACAGCAAAAGGAAAACCATTGAAATGTTAAAATGTTCAGAATAAAAACATATTAACGCAGACAAATTCTTCTATGCTGCCAGCTCTCACTGCTGTGTACGTCCACAGAGACAAATACATGTTACAACAGCTTCCCTGCAGCTCATCGCTTTTTGGTTGGCACAGAAAATTTTAAACAACTGGGAATACAGAAATGATTCATCGCTACAGGTCGCATGCACGTGTTAGAAATTTTGTTGCCTGTGCACGTAATCACCTAGAGCAGGGATTATGCCTAATAGGTGCAAAACCTTCTGCTTACTGACTACCCACAGTGCTGTCGCACAGGCAGCAATTCATACTCTGCACCTTCCCAGGGCTCCAGCCCACCGAAGACAGGCTAACGCAGCTGATGGGCATGCCCAGGTCAGTGCCGGCAGTGCCCTGAGACGTGATCGCTCGTTATCATTTTCAGCCCCTACTTACAGCTCTATGAAGGTTTGTGCTACATTTAAAAAAAAAGCAAACTTAAGGGTATTAAAAGGGAAATAAAGAAGGTGCAGAGAAACCAATTCTGCAGGTTTCATTCCCCAAACCTTTCCCCACGGCTGCGAGGGGAGGACCCAGGACAAGATGCTGAAATTCTCACCCCTTCCTTGGCCACCAGCAGCTGCTTCTCCGCATTCTGTTTCTTGATGTTGTAGTACTGGACCTCCACCTCGTGGGTCAGCTGGAGCCACTTCTGCAGGGCCTCGGGCGCAGCCCAGCTGCAGTGGGACTCCAGCTCCTTCTCGGCGTTCTTGAGCGCCATCCGCACCTGGGAGACAACCGGCCGGCGCGGCATTGCAGCAGCGGCGGGGACAGCCTGCCCTCCTGCAAGGTCATCCCAACCACTGGCTGCCAACCCGGTGCTTTTAAGGCACCAGAAAACAGAAAAAAAGACTCCACGCAACTTAATCTTACTCATGACAGAAGCAGAGGTCATTAGGAGGAGAGGTGGCATCCTGGTACTGTGGGCAAGTGGGAGAGAGGAGCGCAGCAGGGCAGCCATCCGACAGACAAGGCTGCTGCTCGGATGACCAGGACACCCTACAGTGCTTTCCTTTATCCTAAAGGTGAGCTCCTTCCTCAAAAATTTCCAGCCATCGCGATGCTGTCCTGCCTCAGCACAGCTCTCAGGGAGGGCAAGCAGAGCTGACCTGGTCTACCTCTTCAGGGGAGCTCCTCTGCCTCACAACTGCATAAACTGCACGTAAACCCTCCAGAGCTGATGGCACGACGCGCAAGTTAGTTAAAGGAGAATTAGGCTTTAGGTAAGGATATTCAGGGCGCTTATCTTAGCCTCTAGAAATCTCTGCAAAGTTTGCTGCCTGCCTGCAGGTCTGCAAAACCCACAGATTCTCCTCCTGAGGCAGAATCGCTGACAACACTGTGCAGGCAATCGCCTTTTTTCTCTGCAGCTACTGAGCCAAACAGAGGGAGCTTGTCAAGAGACAACTTTCACACTGGAGCAAGATGATAAAAATATTTAGACACAAAACATGTGCTGCTTGGTCAGGAAAAGAAATAACACGTCTGGAATCAGCAGTTTCTGTAGCTTTCTGGGGACTCTCCTTCCATCCCAGCTCAGTCTCCTCCACACACTTACTTATCTTGCTGGAGATAGGAGTGATTACAAAATTAGAAGAAAGTGGGTGACAAGCAAGTTGAAGATACCAAAACCTTACATAAAAGCATTTAGTGCTAGAGACCATCAAGAATTAACATTTCTCTTCCATTACACATGATGTGGAGGGACTTTAATAAACCTGAAGCCTGACCCGAGCCCTGCAAGAAGTTAACGTGTTCCACACTGGAGAAACCGAAGGATGGTGACTGCAGCTTGGAGATGCTGCGATCCAGGGACACCACAGCGGTGGTGGACTGGACTACTCTTCAACCACAGCACCTCGAAGCTCAGGAGGGTTACACGTGGTTATACACTCTACAACAGACTTTCTTGCTGTTAAAATAAAAGCCAACCCTAAGGACCTTCAGGAGCCTTCACTGCCCCAGCAAGCCCTGGCCATCAACACAGACCTTCTCCTAACAGAGCTGGAGCTGGGAGGAAAGGTCCAGCTATGGCACGGCCAGCTACGCAGTCAGGGCCACACACGTGTCACTGGGATGATGCCTGGATGATGTCTGTCCCATTTTCTCTTTCTGTTCTTTAGGGCCCAGGGTCTAAGAAGCACAGAGGCAGTAGGAGTATCCAGCGACCTGCTCGGGCTCTGCACCAGACCTTTCCCAATGCCCAACACACGCTTCCCACAACCGTGTTTACACCCACCCTTGCCTGGTGCCGGTGCCTCTTCGTTTCCCACAGAGCACAGCCGCAAGCGGACTGAAGAGAAGCATTTTTTTAAAAGATTGCTCAAACTTGGATCTTTTCCCTTAACGCGTTATTTAACTCAGTCATGTCTCACCAAGTCTGGCATAGGCGTAATCTCTAGCGAGCCAAAAGCACCAGGTTACACACAGATATTTGAAATCCCGTATTTTATCCTGGAGTACATTTACACAGTCCATCTAGAAGTAGCCAGGAGGCACTGCACAGAAGAGGTCAGCTACTTATATCACTTACGTGTGATTTAGTCTTGTTGAGCGTAACATTGCCTAAATCATTCAAGAAGTTACAAATTCAGAATCGCAGACCCCAGGAAGGTCTGTTTTTCCCCCTCTGACACCAGCGGCACCAAGTGCTGCTCTGACCACGATCCGCAAGTGTCTGGGATTTAGGAATACAGAGAATAAGTGGGCAAGAAATCTGCCACTAAGTATCTGGGGTAGAGGAGTGCTCAAAACATTTACAGGAACAACATTTTTATGGAATGGTGGAAAAGGGAAGCAGTGCAGAACAACAGCCAAGGACCAGTGGTTGAGATGAGCCATCATACAGCAGTGTCCAAAACACAAACCCTCTCAGTTCTGCAGGGGAATCAGTACAAATAGGAGTCACTTTGCGTGTCTACATTCTCCTGTGAAGATTTCTAAGATCCCATTTTGACCACTAAGAGCAACAATTTATAAAGCGAGGAATGCCCTCTGTGTCTGCAGCCCCAGCTGGGTCCATGGTCTGGGGGAGGATGACCTAGGAAGGAGAGTGGGTCGGTATGACCAACCCAGCATGGGAGAGTCCCATCCCAGAAATACACTGCTTCTCCATCTCATACGCCCGACTCCAGCAGGAGCTTCCAAATCCTCCAGTATCGTTTTAGTGATAAGAATCAACTGGTGCAAAAGAAGGTCTTGTTTTAATATACCCTGGGACCCAAGAATCTAAAAATCGGATGAGTTTTACGGTCAGCGGGAGTGACTGGTTAATGTTATCTGTGGTCTACAGCTCGCTGGGACGGTGATCGTGTTATAATCACACAGTGTGGGTCAGGTGGGTAAAACCAATACTCACCCTGTCAATGCATCCCTCCCGAAGGCCTCTAAGAAACAACAGAGCGGTTAAGTCACCTCTGGCTTTTTGGGTTTCTTAACAAATGTAAAGTGGAGGGGGAAGCGGAATGGACGAGACCCTGCCTTCTCCAAAAGCCAGGAGCAGGTCGGGTACCTGGGCTCGGGGTTACAAGAGAAAGGCTATACATCCTTATTTAATGGCCCACAATACAAAACGACCGAACTTCTGTGTGTGTGAATACGGACGCCCCAATGCGTGTCCTGAAACAGAGCTCAGTGACTTTATGGAGAGGCTGGATGACCCGTTAGGAGGAACGATGTTGGATCACGAGAGCAAAGCTGGTAACAGGCGCCTGCAGGTGTCTGGGCTGCTGGTATTCCAAGCAGGAAGGAAATTTGCTGTTTGCTGACTATTTGCACACCTAGGCTGCTCTGCCCCATGGTTCCCTGGTTACCTGATGGCCCAGGACACTTGTTTCTCCCCTGTCAGTGGAGACCCTAGATTCTTATCTTGTTTTCTTCCCCATCCTCCATGGTGGCATAGAAGACCGGGCACAGTCAGGCTGGGAGGATAATGCTGATGGCCTCAGAATATCCAAGGTACTTGCTTGGCTCATGCAATTCTGGCTCACACAATTTCAGTTTAAACTAATCTATAAATTAAAGTCAGATGAGAATTGTCCCTCAGGTGAGATAGGAAGCAGCAACTGGAATTGTGGTTTTGGACCTCTCTTGTAGGTTTGGGCAAAGGGCAGTTTTGAGGTAAAATTCCCAGATGCTCGCTCTTTGCCCTCTGTTACTGCAGGCAGGTGCCGTGAGCAATGTCTTTGATTTCCATTATTTCCCTATAGCTTTCGTTATAGGTCTCGGGGTTTTTAGATGTAGGATTGGGAATGCTTTTTCTGACCTACAACATGTATTACAAATGCTCTGTGTATCCTTCTGGACCAAATGCGTTTCATTTTTGCCAGCAGCAGCATTATACACAATATTCCGTCTAGGCCTACGTTACGATATGTAACTTGGGGACTATTTTCCTGCTAGTCTAAACTTAAAACTAATGTTTTTGAGAATCGCATATGAACTCTAACCTTGCTGTACAGACTGTAATCTAGTGCTAAATTTCCTTGGAAGGAAGTCCCCTTCGTACACCTCTCTGATCCACAAGAAAACATGGCAAGCACAACCAAACTCATTCCAAATCTCTCCTAAAACCATGAATAGATAGAAAAGAAAAAAAGAAAGAGCTTATGGTTTGGAGTGGGAGTTAGAAGTCATCAGAGGGGTGCAGCTACAGGTCAAGTTCAACACCTCTCCTGGAGGGCAAGCTGGGACGGCGTGTGATAGCAGCACATCACTCTTGAGACAGCACCGGCACGGTCCCTGCTACCCAACGCACAAGCAGCACTGTTATAGACTATGGGGGACGTGTAACGTGGAGTAGTGGGAGAAATACTTGGATCTTCTCCTCCACAAAGGGGGGTGGAAAAGCAAAGGCAGAAGAGCATTATAAGCGGAACATCACCGGATTTCTCAGAAGGATGAAGCAGAGTGAGGAACTGCCTACTGTTCTCGCTGGCACGTCTCGTATGTGAGTGCATCCATCTGGCTGAACCCTTACCTGCTCCAGTTCTTGCTCAGCGTATTTCTGCCTGCTCAGTTCATTCTCCGTGCCCTCCCGCAGTTCTCGGAGCCGGTGTGCCTCCTGCTTGGCAATGCTGATCTCATCTTGAAGTTTCTTCTCCAGGTGCACCTTTTCCACCTCCACAGAGCGATGCTCCTCCTGAGCCTTCTGCAGTCTGCAACACACAGAGACCAAGACCCCGGTGCTGTGGGTGTCGGGCTATCTGTACACAGCTGAAGGAGTCTACAGTGCAACTGCTGGCCAGCCACAATCTAGACCAACCCTGCTCTTATTTATTCTATGTTGAGGTCAACAGAGATCTGTATTTGGAAAGTCAAGGAGAAAGTTCACCGTGCCCGAGAAGAAATTAAATTATCAACTCCACAGTCTCAACTTTATTTCATTCATTAAATACTCAGTACATATTTTCTTGATTTTCCAAAGCACAATAAGATTTCCTTTAATAAGCCTCAAATTAATTTGAATTTTCAGTGTTTTTACAAAAGTGAAGACCTTTGCCTTTACTAAAAAAAAAAGGAGGGGAAGATCTGCCTGAGCAGGTATGACCACCCAGAGAGGATGTCTCCGTGTTCCCTTGCAAAAGCCTTCAAATTTAGACATGTCTTAATCTTGCCTGGAAGTTATTATTTTTCCTCATGACAGAATTAAATCAGTAGGAATTATATATGGCAACAAAAAGTAGTAGCAGATTACTTGTACCCATTCAGGAAGGTTCAACCATTCAGCCTGGAAAGCCTCAGCCCTCTGAAGGAGACACCACCGCAGCCGCAGCGAGATATTTCAGGGTTTCTGCGACGTTTGCATTTCAGGGGAGTTGCACTAGTGTAAACCCAACCCTCGCGCAAGTTCAGTGAAATCAAATTAGCGTCAAGAATGAACCCGGCCCACGCGGGACTGAGCTGTCCTGAAAAGGGGTGGTAAAGTCTCTGGTCGTTGCCACCCAACCAACCTCTAATGCCAGCAGTGCCTCTTTTAAATACAGTCCCAAACCCATGTGCTTCTAGAGACACAGCGATTGCCAAGAAAAAGGGTAAAAAAAAAAAAGATTTGGCAAATATTCGGTTGAAATGAAATGAAGAGGTTCACTTCATAATGAAGGTTCTTGTTGAACAAGTACTACAAAAGAAATGAGAGTATTAAAATGATAAATATATTATCATTCCTTCGCGAGAACCGGCCAAATGATTCAACTGAAAAATACTTTTTTTAAAATGATGGCAACAATTAAACCTTGGATCAAATTTCTGAGGAATGTGGTACATCCATCTTTGGATAACTTCAAATCAAGATGTGACGAGTTTCCAGAACATGTACTTCAGCTACTGGACCGAACACAATGAAGTGCCGTGGCTCACGCTGTCAGAAACCAGGTGCATCAATCTAACAGTCCCACCTTTAACCAGGAAGTTCTCTTTCAAAAGCCTCAGTTATCACAGTTTGAGATAAATCAATAAAAGTTGGACAAGACCATACTGTAGGAGCAGCGGGGGCAATGCTATTTTTAACCCAGACCGAACTGAGGAAACTCCTATTTTCTGCCATGAGAAGCAAAGCTCTGCTCCCCACCCAAACCAGCCCCCTCTCCCTGCATGCGCCTCTTGCCCTGCCCAGGCAGCTTCTCTATGGATCGGTGGGATCTTGGATAAAGTGCTCACCTACGCTGAAGGTACCAGCAACGTTTGTGAGGTTAGCAAGGCATCAGCTTAACCAGCAAAACCAGCAGCGGCTTACAGCAGATAGATTTTCAGTGACCGAGTATAACTATCCATACAATGAAATGAAAAAAAAAAACATCCTAAAACCCCAAACGAATCATCTTAGCCAGGAAAAAGTATTTCAAGGTCATAAAAATCTTCACCCACTCAAGATCTTCAACATTCAAACTGGAGAGCAAACCAACGGAGCAACGTGTGGGGAGACAGATGAGAGGGGACAGCGAGGTCTGGCTCCGGGTGTGCTGTACCCATCCTGCAGATGACAAATAACAGATCTCAGGAGGGCACTCCTGGGCTCCCCGAGCGGTTCCCGCTCATCCCGGACCAGCTGGGGACTAATGGAAAGGAAAAAACTGATCCTCAGTCGCTACAAACACTGCTCCCTGCAGCACACGCAAGAGGTGTCCATCTTCCAGCCTTGTACTGAAGGACAGCACTTGGTCGTGCTCCTGGCGAGACGGAGCACAGCCCACGCGCAGACTCGCAGCCGGGACCCATCGCTACCTTTTGGGTCCAGAGCGAAGCCGCTCACTGTCCCAGCCAAGGACTCCTCTTCCTCAGGCTCCTCCTCGGCATGCAGATGGCCATTAAAACAGATTGGACAGGCTGGACTCTCATCAGCCATGATATTAGCCCCCTTCTTGGAAAAGGCTCATTTTCAATTTACAGCTCTGTTGGGAAACTCAAGTGTTTTTTTTTCCCCAATTTAAAGAGACTCTTGCCAAGACATTCCAAGTTTTTAGATAAACCCATGCTCTCTGCCCTGTGCATCAGTGCTAGAGCTCTTCCATACTAGGGCCGTAAGAATCCCAAACCACCAAAATATCTCTGTTTAAAGGAGAAATTCCCCTGTACTATGACGCAGAATGGGAAGGAATTTTATCCTTAAGATAATTCTCAAAGGCACTCTAACATCGTATTTTCCCTTACTACCATTTTTTTCCTCACAGCAGAGCCCATATTTTCTTATGTTGGTTATGGACAAAACCACGTTTTGCCTGTGCATTCCCGTTCAAACCCAGCCGATTGAGCCACACTGGTTTCACGTGCACTGAGCTCCACGAGATGACAAAGTGCCTTCAGAGCTGCACTTGTAATGAGGGCAAGAAATCGAGACCCACCTGGGGGCTTCACAGTTCAGGAGCAGATCTTCAATACAATCAGTAGATCTTCATACAGATCTTCATACAATTTTCAGTCATCAGTAGGATGTACTAAGACATGAACTTTTTTATCTTGATGGGTCATTTAATTGAGTGGAAAGTGTCACTGTTGAAGGATGTTCACAAAAGGTATTTTGAAGATGAACAAAAAAAGGCTTATAGAATCACAGGATCATTTAGGTTGGAAAAGACCTGTAAGATCACTGAATCCAACCGTAAACCTAACACTGCCAAGTCCACCGCTAAACCATGTCCCTAAGCACCACGTCTACACGTCTTTTAAATACCTCCAGGGATGGGGACTCAAATGGCTTTTTATATCAACCTTCCCCTTCCCAACTCTTAAAGAGCGTATCAGAGTTGTTCATCAAGTAACAGCGCTGGCAGTTGGTGGGCAACTGGAAAGGTATCACATGCCTTCTGGAGGTCTGTTCAGCAGTGTTTCAATGAGCCAGGAAAGGAGGTTACTTCAAGGTCTAGAGAGAAACTTCTAGAAAAGAAGTTTCTAGAAGAAACTTCTAGAAAATAAGAACTTCTAGAAAACAAGTCTCTGAGCAGAACTTCAGAACAAGTCCACGGGAACATGCTGTTGGTAGTTTTTGCTGTTTCTACAGTGGCCGAGGACGACAGCTGAACCTTGCTGGGGTGCAAGAATGAAGAAGAAAAGGCGTATTCCCCCCTTCAGAGGAGAATTAGATCAATCCTGTGCCAAGAGGCCCCACAAGCACCAGGAATTCACCTCCCACTTGTTGAGCTCTAGCTCAGTGCCCTCTGCAGAGGACAAGCCCTCCCAGCTGCACACCCTGCAGAAGCATCACAAGCTGCTCTGGGTTGAGACTCAAGCTATGCTTAGTATACGTGGTTTTGTTTTTCTTCCTATCTGGCTTTAGAGCATTAGTGGAACTTCCCAGGCACATCTACTTGTTTACGTGGCTCTGCCCTCGGCAGCAGATCCCGAGGTTGTTCCCCACACGGCACATTCACAGCAGCCGGCATTTGGACCTCTGGTGTGACCTGCTCTTCAGTGACACCCAGCAGAGACCTCCTGCCCTGGACACTCCGCTGCTCTGGGGGATGGACGTTGAGAAGGAATTCCCATGTCCTTCTGGCTGTAGGAAAAAAAAAATCTTTTTCTTTGGGGTATTTCCAACCTGCAATGTAAAATTACACAAAGCTCTGTGAAACCAGCTGTGGATTGGAGACAGCTCCATGGTAGGCAGAGTCGAAATGCACTTTATTCTATCTCTATGCCAAAAAGAAAGCAGGTCACATATCTGCATCACTGCCAGGGGAACATGCCCAGTTTGGCACCATCACCTTGGTACTCTCTTAAGTGTTTGCCCTCCACATAGACACCAACTGATGCAATCACACTCAAAGAAGAAAGGCTTTCGAGCAACGCTCACGTGTGGGACAATTCCCTGAAGGCTGTCATGAGCACGTAGGCAAGAAATCAGGCTGCAGCCTTGTGGGTACGTCGTATGGTTTCCGAAGACTCGGCTGTTTGCAAAAGTCTCCACGGCAGATTGACATCCTCGGATCCTGGTGTTTGCACAGGTCACTCGTCACACCACCTGTGAGCGGCCAGCATGCGTACCGGGGGCCGGGCTCCGCTTTTGGAGAAGCCACTGGGAATGTAGCCGTCAGCTTATATGGCAGCCAATTAAGGTTTATCCTCCAAAATTACACTTAAAACTAATGAAAAATAGTTACAGTCCATGACTATCATGCTCTGTTATTCACTAACTCTGCCCTTAAAAAAAAATCTTATTGCCGAAAAACCCCACTGGTTTGTCATCAACAGTCTTGAATGCTCTTTTCTTTCCTAGAAGACTCCGGTGTCTACAGAGGGCCTCTTTTGCAGCCCGTTCTCCAATAAGTAATTTTATTGGAACCATTACAATCATTTCTGTGAGTAGAGGTCACATTCCTGAAGCTACAGTATTTTGCCCAAGTGCCTAGAGTTCAACTATTCATATGTAATACTCCAAAATTATTTTTTTCATTCTTCCCAGGCAACACTCCTGGATTTAGGTATCACCGTGCAGGCAGGGAAGCACAGGCTTTTACATACAGCTCCTAGAATTCAAGAGGGTTGTAATTCCTCTGATTGCTTCCACTGTTTCAGCATGCTTTTTCCCCCATCAAAAGCCAGGGTGAAACAACCTGATCGGCCTGGATGACAAATTCTAAGTGGGCTGGATTACCTTACGCTCCTTTAAGAGGCTCTTCTTCCCCTCTGGGTACCAGATTTACACTGTAATTTCGGGGGGTGGGGATCCTGATATACTTTCAGTATGAGTCAGCCAAGGAGTAGAAACCACTGTAGATTTCACTGCTCCTATATAATTAAATATGGTAAATAAATAGGAAGTACCTATCTGAAATAAGACAACGCACTCAAAACGAAGAGCGACCACTACCGAGTACAGAAGGAGCGCTCCCATCCATTTTGCTCAGTTGGACGTTTTGCTCCTTAAAGCAGCGAAGTTCTGAGTGTAGGGAGAAGAGCTCTCACACGCCAACAGCAGCAAAACTAAACGGAGTCAAGTCTTCCCGGAAATTCAGAAACTATTTTTTTGAACCAGTAATGACCTTTAGAGCAGAACCAGAACTAAACAGGCAAAACACAACATAAACACAGCGCGGAAAGGAAACAAAACTGCATGGGAGCACATACGGCCGCGCTCGACTACGCGTCAGCGTGCACTGGAGCCCACCTCGGAGCGGGAGATGCTGGTGTCGGACGCTGTCACTTTGCTCAAGTGGCTTCAGTGCCACGTTTCAGGATGGTAGTAAGGCGAGGGAGCTTTTACCACCCAGGCCTTCACGTGGCACACCGCAAGTACAAATAACTAGCACGTCATCACCAAAGAGCAGGTCAAGTGAGCACGCACACATCTTTACGTGTAGCCTGGTAATGAGCCAGGCACCCATTCAAGCTGTTAAGACGGGTTGGCAGGTTTGCTACGGTCGCTCAGGAAGGTGCTGACTCTGGTACACAGCACCAGGTGACTGCTGCACAGAAGCACAACAGCTAAAAAGAAAATCTTTCCTGAAATCTAAATGAGGAATGACCTTGCAGGGAAGATCAACAGTTGAATGCTCCATCTGGGTGGACGCATAAAACCTACCTTTCTTGAAGGTCATGGAGAGACTGTTCAGCTCTGTGGAGTCCCTCGAGGTCTTTCATCATCTTCTTCATGTGCTCCTTTGAATAGCGATTCTGGATGTAGGCAAACCAGCAGCCACCCACGCCGATGACGATGGACACCACCAGCATGAAGTCCTTCAGGTGGTTGTGACGAGTTACTGGAAGAGAACCAGAGATACTGCTGAATTCAAAAGAACACGCGAATTAACTCCGTAATGCTTCGCCCGCACCAGAGCTGGATATGAGAACTTAACGTTAGAAGGAATTGTGGCCCAGGTTTCACAAAGGGAAAAGATAAGCTACATCGATATTTAAGGGGAGAAAAAAAGAAGCTTGACAATATTTATTCAATTTGAACGGGGAAGCAAAAAAAAAAAAAGGGGGGGGAGAAGATGAAATTACAAATCTTATAGATATAATTTGCCTGGCAATACATGACATAGGAGAGAACCCCCAGAACAGCTGTGCCCTTTTAGGACAATACAGATAGCATTGAGTATGAAGATGTAAGAGATGTAAGATATAAGAAAATAACTGTGGAAAAAATATGACTGTGATCATAGAGACGGGGCAGATCAAGTATCAAACTGCCAAGTTGCAAAACTTTCCATCAGAATTACACTCAATGTGGAAACCCCCTTTTTCAACAGTTAGCAAAACACAGTTACTTAAAAAAAAGCGTGGATGCATGTGAGAGAACGCAAGTAAATAAGTGGGGGTTTAAGTGCTAAACAAAAACCAAAAAGATGATTCAAGCAGAATTTTTTTACTGCTTACTAATTAGCAAATCCTCAAACAAGTATGTACTGAGAAAGCTAAAAACGAGAAAGAGCTAGCTGCGACTAAACGTTCAGTATCTACTCATTTTAAACCAAAAGAGGGTAGATTCAGACTAGATATAAGGAAGACAGTTTTTACGCTGAGGGTGGTGAAGCACTGGCCCAGGTTGCCCAGAGAGGTGGTGGATGCCCCATCCCTGGAAACATTCCAGGTCAGGCTGGACGGGGCTCTGAGCAACCTGATGTAGTTGAAGATGTCCCTGCCCACGGCAGGGGGGTTGGACTAGATGGCCTTGAGTGGTCCCTTCCTACCCAAACCATTCTACGATTCTATGACCCCACACGTTGCAAACCCCCAGGCACAACCTTCTACTTGCACTTCACACAGTTCTGATGTCTTTTTGCTACCAGTACTACAGGTTGTATCCTAGGCACGCCGATTTCCTATCAAGGTCTACATGCATCAGAGGGAAACATGCAATTCCCAGCAGCATGGGGTGTACTCAGCTGCTCCATACAGCACTGACAACACCAGTGACCCAACACCGCTTCCCAGCACAGGCTCCTCTAAAACACACTGAAGTCCCAGAGGCTTTTACATTAGGGTTCATGTAAATGTATAAAGAGAAGCATGAGCATGTGAAGGGGTGCTTATCCAAGAGCAAACGCTGTGCCAGCTCCAGCAGCTCCACTTGACCGGCTCCGTGCGATGGTACTCAGATGGACAAGAACGACGGGAGAATTTAGGTTGGCAGCTACAGGGGAAGCGAAAGAGCCATTATAGGCACAATCAGAAAACCTCTTTGCTTCACCTGAAGCAGAAGCAGGGGGGTTTTAAACACAGAAATGTACATACACAACCTGACCCCTCCCCTTGCTGCCAGCCCTGAGAGCACAGAGTGGCTTCGGTGGGCTGGGGACAGCAGGTCATCTCTGGATTCAGAGGCGAGAGCAGCCAGAGAGCTGTCAACAGGCTAGAGTCATGGAAGGACCCTTTCTTAGGGGAATTGCCAAGGATGTGCTGTAACACAATCTCACAGTTACTCTAAAAGGAGTCAGAAATGCTGTTTTCCCCAAATCGATGCAACATCCCTTCCTGTGCCCTGCATCTGGTCTGGAGGACACCTCAACTCAGCATGCATGAGATGGGCTACACCCAAAGCAGCACCCACTTTCGCAAGAAAAACACTTTAGCGAGGCGAGTCCTCGCTGCCAGATCCTCGCAGTGGTACTTGCGTGCCCACGGGGCAAACGGGTCACGGCGGTACGGTGAGCACAAGCAGGACTCCCCAGAGCTTCTCACTCGCACGTCAGGCTCATGACGAGCACGGCACGGAGGGGTGTCCTGGCACCAGGAAGTCACAGCAGTGAGGAGAGTCTAAAACGGACGGGAATCGCACCCTGTCGTTTTCCAAAATGAGCGGATGTGGAAAAGCCAGCGACCAGACATTTTAAAGATGACAAAAGAAGTTTACTGTGAATGGCCTTCTTTCATATAGGAATTTTAGAATACTTTAAGACAAACGAAATGCCATAGACCACCACAGGCAAACAAACATTGGATGCATTTTGTAGGGGAGTGAACTGAAGCACAGAAGCAAGTGATGCTGTGCAGGACCAACCTGCGCAGGGACTGGATCTCTCCCCCTCCATCCCTCCATCCACGGGCACCTGGCAGCTTTGGCGCAGGGCTGGAAGCAGCTTTCCTGCAGCAGAAGCTATTGCTGACACTGGAGGCAGCAGCCAATGCGGCCATGCTCTGTTTCCAGCTCTTTCACGTACTCCTTGATTCACGTGCATGTGTTTTGTGTTAGAAGGTGGCAAGACAGAGCCCATGCCGGCTGGGCAGACACCAGCTCCCACCGCCGGGACCGTGGGACAGAACCAGCCCTGGGTCTGGAGGGGCCACTGCACAGCCCAGTAAGTTCCCAGCTGGGAAGAGCTCGATTGCCATCTCTGCTTGGGTCCCTTCCTTTCTGCGCACCGCAGATGAGCTTGCATAAATGGATTAAGCATAAAATCCCACGTGGGCTGCAAGTTTCCCAACACCTTTTGTTTCGGGACTGTCAGGGGGCTTGTAGAATCAGAATTATTGAGGTTGGAAAAGACCTCTAAGATCATCGAGTCCAACCATCGACCCAACACCA